GAGGATTTTCTCTGACATGTGCTCCAACCGGACGATCTGTCGCTCGAGCCTCTGTAGCACTGAAAGCAGATCGAAGCTCCTCGACCTCGGCTCCCTGTGTACGACATCGGCTTGCAAGATCATCAGCAGAAGTGACACGGACGCGAGCGCTCCGACCATGCATGCCATCCTGGAGCACCGAGCCATGGCCATCATTGGACCAACTTCTGGGGGTTTCCGAAAATAGGGGACCCTAATATAGTACCCCAAATAATAGGATCCCTATTATAAGGACCCCAAAATAAGGTACCCCTAATTTTCTGAAACTCCCATCTAGCTCAGTGCATCCCTTCCATGTGCTTCCGAGAGCTTGATGGCTTAGACAACTTGTCGAGCATGAAACCGGTGGAAGGCGACTTGGAATCTGTGCACGCAACACATGGCACCTGAACTCCCCAGAACCTCTCCAACACACACCCAGTCTCGGCCACTTCTTGCCCTGCAACTGTTGCAGCTGCGATGAGGTTAAACCTGCTAGAATCTGAATCTGAATCTCAATGGCCCCCATCCCTCAACAACTGCATGCAGCACGCCCAGTGCATCAATCCGCTGAGTGGCTCCGGATAAAGGCTGAGCTCGTGCCAGCCCTTGGAGACCTCAGCATCCATGCTTGCCGGTGGAGCCTGGAAAATTAGACCTGGGGCTCAGATGTTCCAGAGTCCAGTTTGGGAAGCTTGCGTGACGGGTCAGAGGAGTTACAACTTAGTGAGTTTGTGCTCCACCAGGCCCTTCATGTCCACTCCTCAGCCACCGGCAGCTGCAAGCGCCCGAAGGCTAGCGCAGGGGAGCCGCTCTGCTCCACCGCAAACGCAGCGCAAGATGTGCAGCCTCTCGTCATATTCTGCACTCTCTTCCCATGCTTGTTGGATGTAGTGGCATACGGACGCAATGAAAGCTGCGTTCAGCGAAGTCATAACAAAAAACTTGCTTGAAGCAATTTCACGTCCTGGCATAGACCGGTTTCTGTGCTTCGCATGCATGAGCATGTGCTCCGAAGTTCAATATGCGAAGAACCCACCACCATGAGGAGCCTGGGCAACAAGCCGTCCAAAGCGTCCATTGCATCGCCAAAGGGAGGCGCTAGCGGGCAATTCAGTTGGAAAGAAGGAATACCGTTTTAGGGTCGCTTTATAATCAAGCTCCATATACTCTATAAGCGGGCACTGTTACCAACTCAGGGGCCCGGGAAGATGCTAAGCTGATGCCCTTGTTGACAACCTTCCGGACTGCTTTCAGGGTGCCGAGGGCTTAGGGGTTCTACACATTCTACACTAAGGTGGAAAGTAGGGATGAATGGTGAGGTTACATTGAGCGTCAAATTGTTTCCCTAAAAAACACGAGTGGTTAGAAAGGGCCCATCCTAACAGCGGCTCCTGTTCTCCAGCTCTCACAATCTCGATCTCGGCCTCATGTGAACCGCTTCTTAGGTTCGAAGAGCAAAAAATTGCTGCGACACGCATGGATGTCAGTGCATGCGCAGGTGTGTTGTGTGTGATTTAGCACCGCATGCTCCCCGTGCCGGTATGCCTTAGAACATAACAAACACATTTTGACACGGAATATATTCTTACTTTGCCATCTGTCCATCTTTCCATCTGTATCTCTCTATCTATCTCCCCACACATCTATCTATGTACCTATTATCTATCTGTGTATCTATCTGTCTAAGCCTTTCTAAATCTACCTGCCTACCTACCTACCTACCTACCTACCTACCTGCCTACCTACCTACCTACCTACCTACCTACCTAGCTAGCTAGCTAGCTAGCTATCTATCTTAAAAGCTATCTCTAAGTCTATCCATCTATCGACCTATCCTTTGCCAGGGTAGAACCCCTCTCTGCATCTGTTGGTCTGGCCATCTGTCTTATGCTTGCTGCCTTTGTTCAGTCTATCTAGGTCAGTCAGTCTATCAGTCTATCAGTCTATCTCTCTGCCTTTCTATCTATCTATCTATCTATCAATGTATCTGTCGATCTATCTATGTATCTATCTATCTGTCCTTGTCTGTCTATCTAAGTCTATCTACTCTCTCTCTCTCTCCCTCTGTCGCGGCAGGCTGCTACCATCCGGTGCTGTGCACCGGATCTGATGGCCGCGGTGCATGCGCTGCAGTCTATCTGTCTATCTACCTACCTACCTGTCTACTGTCTGCCTACCTGCCTATCTATCTCTCTGTCTGTCTACCGGTATACCGGCCAAAGACGAAGTGAGCGAGCCTCCAACTATTCATCCTTCCTAATCAGGTTTTAAAAGCGTCCCGTGCTCCTCGAACCGGAAACTGCTAGCAGCTGGATAATTTCCCAGGTACGCCAGATCAGATTTGCCTGAGTCTTTGCATCTCTGATAACTTCCGCCGTTGCTTCACGCAACGACGGAATGCTTCACACAGCGAGAGAATTAGCCATCTATTCGGGTCTTCTCCCCCCCCGCAAGCTTCTACACTTGCTGTTGTGGTGGAACGCCGCTGGAGCCTTCTTGCTTGGGAGATTGGCCCGGCTGCCTAGAAAAGCCAAGACCAGAAACTACGTGGCTCATCGACGGCCTACACAAAGGTCGAAGCTCCAAGGATCAGAAGATCGACTGCTACTTCTTTACCGCTCTTGAAGCCGAATCGGCACCAAGGCGTTTAGCTGCTTTCGGCAGGGTCTTGAGGGTCCAGCCGATCCTGTTCATACAAGTGAAGGATTGGGGGTGGACTGTAACTATGAATGGCCTGCACGAACCAGCAACTCCAGCCAGACGTGCCGCAACCGCAGTGTGGCCAGATATGATGTGCCAACAAGACTGATGCCTTTCTTTGTTCTTGACTTGTGCGCCCCTGAACCTCACATATGCCAAACCCTCCTGCAGTTCTGCTAACCTCGCTGGGCATTTCTGGTGGATCTACAGGACCTCTTGCTTAGGAACCGGATGATCAGCGACAACGTTCCTGCTGATGTAGAACATCCTGCCATGACTTATCGACCGCAAACTGTCAAGTGAAGCAGCCTTCTTGCAACCATTAAGCCTCTATACGCCTCTATGCCACGGCAGGGCTGGCAAAGCAGCCGGATCTTACACGAACTGTATGCCCGGCATTTTCAGCATAAGGTCCTTTATACTTACGATAGTAACCTCCTCCGATCCTGGGAGTGCGTTCATCCGACGGTTCGTCGCAAGCGCCTAGAGCCATGGAACTCTCTGTAGGGACGCTAACAAAATGCGTGCCCCAAATTCAAAAAAGCTGAACCAGGAATGCAAGGCTTTCGTGGCCAGCTTTCCTATGTTTCCTCTGCTCTCCAAAGATGTTCGGGTTTCGGCTTGAGGGTTTAGAGCGCTAAGCATCCTGCTATGAGCAGCGGCCAAATTCATCTCTCTTCGCGAATAGCCGCGCTGGCTCCTGAAACTGAAACCTTGCTTCCTTTGGACATGCATGACCGATGGTCGCAGCAACTTGTGCAAGCGCCGACATTGCGACCCATGACAGTGTTGATCAATTTGCGTTGGCCAATCCTCAAACAAGACACACACACACACACGCGCATGCGTGCACTACGTGGCTTGAACTTTGAGAATTAAGTCATGTCAATCTCGATTCCGCCTCATCGTCTGGGAGGCATGTACTGATTCCGTGTTAGCTCCCTGTACCAATCGTAGAAGCTTGATGAGACCTCGATCCGTTCGGCGTACTATCGCCAGAACCAGCTGCTCGTGTGGAAAGCAGCTGAATTAATGACATGCTGGCTTGGAGCATGCTGGACATGTACAAATGGGATGCCGTGAAGCATACCTCAGCAATGCACCTTCTGGGTCTTGGCCCCCAAGGTTTGCACAGATTTCTTGCCTAACCATGTCGAAGGCTGTTATAAGAAGGCGAGGCTGCAGCCAAAGAGGACCCTGAAGGCAAGGTGCAGCGTGTCGCACCTTCAACGCTGTGCATCCAGATTGCTCTGGAGAGGTTACGTTCCTATCGGCTCCAGCCGGCCGGCCATGACTACCATACTCACAGGTTTTCCTTCAATCTGGATGTAGCTCCAGTGTTCAGGATATTCTCACAATAGAGATCGTACGTCTATGGCCTACGGTAGCCACAGGCTGCTTGCCCTCCGGCAATTGCTGGGCACAGGTCTCCTTCTCTTCGTCGACTTCGGCGGTGCCCTTGATTCATGCACCCTGCAAGACCTGCTCTAGTTTACTCCGGACGCTGAGGCACATCGGATCCGTAGTGTTGATCTTCCAAGCAGGCCCATGCAGACTGCACTTTCGAAGTCACTTGAAACTAAGCGACCGCCTGCTGTACCCTCGCGAGAAGCCCACTCTGGTGCGCTGGTTACTTTACGATCTGGCTTTTGATTCGCCGCCCTATACCTCCCGCACGCAATCAGACACAAAATGCCCCCATCTGATCCCCATCACCGGAAGTTCGTTCCCCACCGTAGGACTGAAATCACGGACTCAGTACTCAAATGATCGGACGATATCCGATAGCCCGACCCGGTGCAATGCCCTGTGCCGTCTTGTCATGTCGAGCGACATGAAGCCTGATCATGCCTAATCCTCCCACGGCTTGTTAACTGCACGCATCGCAGAGTCAGCTGCATCGCGAACTATGGTACATGAAGACCTGTGCTCGAAGGTGCCCAGCTCCAATTTGGCGCGTCGGCCTCGCACGCAATGCCCGTCAGGAAGAGGTGCATGGTGACAAGTCATAGGCGCAACAGCAGTCGTAGGCATAGTGATCGTCGAAGTCTCGTAATATCATCATACAGACTGTCTGGTTGAAACGCCAAGCGGACTCCTCAGGTCTCTCCTGTACGGACCCTAAACTTGAAGAGCCCGTATGTTCCGTAAGTCAGCCAGGGGGGCTGTTACATGAGCCTGCAAGAGTGAGCTGGCTGCACATTCCTAGCTTTAGCAGCAACTGGGCCAAGACGAAGACCTAAGGGAGCCCGACCCCGGACAACCCGAAAGCGCCAGGCCTAAGCATCGCCGCCCTCCGAGTACGTGCAAATAAATGCGGCCAAAGCCTGGTCCAGAGTCACCTCGGAGGCACGAAAAAGAGAAGATCTGTCCTTTAATGGAAACGAGAAGATCAGAAAGCCCCCAGACCCAGCCAGAATGCCAAGTGCCGTCTGCATTCCCTTCTAAGTCCGACAAGCGAACTCTGCATTCACGCTGCCTTCTTCGATGGAACAGAAAAACTGGTACATCCCACGATCCTCACCAATGACCATATGCAAGCAACACAATTGGCTTCCAACTTCACTTTTGAAGACCTTCAAGTATCTCCGAGGGGCCATGAGATCGATGACTGACGTAAGGGTTCCAAACCTGGAGCAAGTTGGCAATATCCGCTGAGGCGATCAATGCGCACGTTATGCAGCATGGCCGCACAGGAACTCACTAGCACTCTTGACCCAACCAGAGGAAGGCGAACTTGATGTAAGCATTGCGCTCATGCAAAGCCTAAGCTGTGTGCAATGGGAAGAACGGACGAACATAACTCGGGCATGACTGTGCCAGATAGGCTAAAATATGTAACGTCTGTCGCAGCAGAGTATCGACATGTTGAAAGGCATTGGGGTTTCAAATCGAAGTTCTCATCACACCCGCCCGACCAGGGACGGACGTTTGTCTGTAGTGAGTCAGACAAAGGCAAATGGAAGGGCGACAGCTGCTTGGCTGAATGTCGGGGGCGCTAGAAATCAAGAACAACTTTGGGTACACGATCAGGGGATTCAGGCTTTGGGAAGGCATATTATACACTATATTTATATAGGCAAGATAAGAAGGTCATTACTTAAGACGCCTATGCTGGGTCTATGCAGCGCTTCTTCCAGGCCCTGTGGCTCATGAACCCGTAACCCAAGAATCTCTCCTTATCCCACACCCTCTGTGGAGCCCTCTGGCTGAAAACTCAGCACCCGGCCACTTCGCGACGTCGTACTCCTCCCGCTCCCGGTCTCGGTTTGCTAAGGCCTCATACCAGGGTCCGAAGCAAGGCTCTCTTGCACGCGCTCAGTGTCATTACACAGACCTTTATTTACCAAATACGCGTGCCGGCATGTGCATAAAGTACAGGTATAAACGCTTCTTTATCGGTCTGTTTGTGTGTTATCCAACTCGCCTATGTCCGTAAGGTCATGCATAACGTGAAGGTTTCATATGTCACAACGGCCATGGCCACAAGCACGTGAGCAGTGTGTTGGCTGCGCACCTCGTGCATCACCTCTAAAGGCGTGCTACGGGCGAAGCATCCCATCAGCTGGAACCTCAGAGTCGTAGCCGGTGCGTTCTTGAAGGTACGATTTCAAAGCTTGGACTCTCTCTGGTCAGCACCTAGCCTCCAGCGTGGATTCTCTCAAGCGGCCTCTAGCTGATGATACTGGCTAGGTTGTGCCACCTCTCATGCTTCAGCTGTCGATTCGGGATCAACTGCTGGCTCGAAGACACATCGACGACAGGCACAAGTACTTGCAGAACGACTTCACGCACCACAACGGAACACCGATGGAACTCAGGCTGTGCGGGCCTCTGGAGCTAGGCTCCCCTGCTCCATCTGTGATACTGAGCGCAGCATCTTGTGCAGCCTGGGGCTGGGGAGGTCCTCAGCCTCACACCGGGAAGGGGGAGGGAGCTATGCCACGCTGAAAATCCTGGAACCTCGGCCCAAACCAAGCTGAGAACAAGAACAACTCTGGACTCCGGACTTACTTCTCTGACTTCCATCTCTTAGGCTGCAGACGCCGCGGCGGTGTGGGCCCCAGGGTGCTCCGCACCTGGGCTGGCCTGCAAGGCTCAGGCCGTCTCTCAACATGAGGTGATGGTTCTGTGCCGTAGAAAACTTTCTGCTAGTCTCCATAGGAGAGCAACGCCTATCTTGAACACTGAACGTCAAGCTGCACAACCACACCACGGCCAGTGCTCTTTGAGCTGAAATAAGCAGCAAGTACAAACATTGAAGCCTGCTCGGTCGAGAGGACCCGTCGCAGCATCCGGTCCTGCAGGATCATGCGCAGTGCCGGCAAGGCGGTCTGTGCTTCACAATCGCTTGAGGTGGCTCCTTTTTGGATTGGTAATGCTGTGCAAGTTTGGATCTTGGTTCAGAGATGCAGAGCCTCTGGAAGTGGGTTGGCAGTTGCATCTGACAGCACCGGCTTTCCCTTTCCAGAGGCGGCTTCCCAAAACAGGCACCGGAAGCTGCTAATTGCTGGTACCAGTATCTGGCATGGCCAGTCGGCCGACATGAGGAAACGTGTCACAAACTAGAATGCAAGGATGACAGCGTAGGGTGTCTAAAACTCCCCAGCCACCTGAGTGAAATTCTCATGATTTGGCAGGTGTCCTTGTGCTCGATCACCTCATTCAAACGCCTGCCCACTGGACCGGCCAGTAAACTTATAAATGCCAACGTCGCCAATGCTGCCAAATTTGCCTCTTGACTCGCACGCTGGCACAATGCAGGCACGGATTCCAGCAATGACCCCCTCCGAACAAAACTTAAACCCACACAGCACCCAGATTCTAACATGTACGAACGTACTAGCAAGATCCTGAACACACCCAACAAGCAACACTTAGCACCTATCGGACCTATCATGTCACGAGCTCCTAGGACTGGCCAGACTGTTCCTGGAAATGTGCAAAGACCCAGTAAGGGGTCCCATAACACGTGTAAGCACTGACAACCAGAGCCTTTACGGAGGACTCTGGGAACTCACGCTCAGAATGCAAAGCCATATAAGCCCTTCGGGGCATGAAACCTGCGATTCACGCTTCGCACTTCGAACCGAAAGCACTTCCCACGGAAGAATCCGAGCTCCCCTTCTCATCCTCCGACCCACCAGCCAACGGGCCCACGGGGCCCCGACCGTCGGGCCCTGAAGGATGTCCTGAGGCAGTGAAGTCAACACCACTGCGCTGCCAGCAGCATCTACGCCCCTAGCCCCTATAGGCTTACACTTTGCGATGAGCTCGTTTGCGGGCAGCAAGGTGTTCTGCCTGAAGTTACCCTGCAGGCGCTGGGAGTTTCCATGCTTGTTTCTGGTTACTGTTGGCCGGTACATGCCACTGGGTCTGCGGAAAGTCGAGTACTGGTCAAAAAGTCGAAGATGTCGAAATGCCGATCGCCAATGTCGAGAAGACGATACTACAGCAACACCCGGCGATGCTCATACCATGACGTGCCGGCACGGCGTCCTGATGAGGTGAGGAGCGTTCCTCAGAGGCGGCAGGGAGACAATCAAAGGAGCAAAACCTGTTCTACCCAAAACTGTTGCAACTATGATAAACAGTAGTTCTTCTGTGCTCCTGCCGTTGGTACTGAGCGCGGCTCGACCATCATTGCACCAGTGCTGCAGCTCCCCAATGTGCAAGCCCCCGTTGTGCATAGCTGAGCAACCGGAAACCTTCTGCCACCTTCAAAGCACCCAGTGTTGCCCCGTGGTCCTGATTCAATCTACTATGTATGTTGTCTTGACCGAAACAACTTCATGGCAAGACGCTGGCCCCCGGCTGCCACGAAGCATCGCAATCGCCCGAGCGCTTCCTTCAGGGTGATCGGGTCAGGGAGCCATCGTGATCCGTGGAGTGCAAGTCAGGCTGAAGACCTGTAGTAGCCCTTGTGCAAAGCACACTGCTGAGCACTCCTTGCAGTCTGCATACTGCTGAAAGAGGGACAGGAGCCACTCACCTGCAAGATTGACTCCGGCATGGCATTCTGAAAAGGTGACTTCCCGTGTCTCGAATGAGTCACCGCAAGGGCCTGTGGTCTCGTTGTCTTCGTCGCATGCGAACTTTTCTGCCTTGGGGCGGTTCTTCTATCTGCACGGTTGTTGTCTTTCCACAAGCAGACGAATACATCAACAGTGTGCGAGGACATCAAGCTGCTGAAGATTGTGCAATATACACTCACCTCCGGCAATGGGGGGTGTCTGTGCCCGAGATTTGATTGCACGGCAAGTTGTCGCAGTATGCCCTTACTGTTGTCACGGAAATGCCGTAGTCACGGTTTGACATGTTTTGAAGCTGTTTGCGAAGTCATAGGAAATGATGCTGTGAAGCACATCGTCACCGAAAGCCCACCGCTCTGCCTTGCTTGAGTTGGTTGGTCTACTTGCTGCCACGAAGATCGCAAGCTGCCAGTCTTTCATTCTAGCGGGAATAAAATCTGCCTAGGGTCGGTTGCATCGTAGTCGCTCCAGACCTGTGACAGGCCCCGAGACTGAATACTGAACGGTGTGGAATTTCGCTTTGCCGGTTCTGATCTGCGGCAACAGGCCGCCGGTTGTCGCCTGCAGAGGAGCCCCTGTGCGCGACACCATGAGCTCGCCCAAGGCGCGGACGCACGCCTCAGAGTGTGGGAAAGCTGCCAGGATCAACAGCTGCTCCCGCGAAGGCTGTGCGTGATCCTGAAAAGTTTCGACCAACCTGACATGGGTGCTGACGTTCAGGCATGTTGGTACCAGCAAAGGCGCTTAAGCGAGAGAAAAAACCTTTCTTCTCGCGCTCAAAAGTCTCAGTTGTGAGTTCCCTCTTGCGACACCGCCAGTTTGCGAACTTCGATGTCTTGACATGAGCGAGCTAAGCCGAGGCTCTTTTGCGTGTGCGGGGGTCTTTCGGCCAAGACAACGACAGCAGTTTAACTGATCTGATTAGTGCGCAAGACTTGCTGTGCATCGGACAAGCCTTAAGCCTTAAGACGTCGAGCGACTTGCTTGCCCACTCATGTAGAGACATGCCGAGCGTCGTCAATGAGGACATCAACTCGCACATTGAACTTGTCCTTGAGATGCCAGGGTCTGCCCTCGAACACAATGCCAAGGCTGACCAGGAATATTGCTACAAGCAGTCCTCGAGCCTTCCTCTCCAGGGCCACACTTACATCTAGAGTCTAGAGGCCCTCAGAATCGCATGCGATACATCGTGCCCGCCCTCGGTGCTCACCACTATCACTATCATGCCACCTCGCTTCACATTCAATGCCTTCGCCAGGTGCTCTTGCTCGCTGCGCCTTACCCGAAGCCTTTGACACCTTTGAAGAAACTTCCCCTCCCTGACCCAGCAAAACCTTCGTAAGTTCTGCTTCGACACCAGGAGCGAGGCACGTCGCATCCAGCACTGTGGGCCATCAGGGCCAGGAGCCTCCAGGCGATGGGGGGCTTGCCGCAGGACCAAGCGCCTAGCTTTGCAGACTTCTAGCATAGCAGGGGTCCTGCTATGACGCTGCAGGGTTTACTCTGGGAGCGGTGATGGTAGGGCTCGAGGGGGCGGCTGAGAGCGGAGACCTTCAGTCGGAATACTTCAACTTCTCTGGCTGAAAGACTGCTGGAGGGAGCCCGCCCTCCCTGTTCCAGAGAACACCAAACCTCAACCTCTAAGGAACATCGAAGCTCCATCGACGCGATGCCTCTGCCAAAAGCTGGTCAAGCCTGACGATGGAAGCTATTGTGCGCAGTGCAACTCAACGTCTGGGCAAAGGTCGGTAGCCGCACACTCTTCCGACATCATCGTCTGGGTTCCGGGCAGTGCACGGTCGTAGCCTTGGCATCGGGCTACTGTCAATCTTCAAAGGTTGTTTAAGTCTCTGCCATCACAGCATGTGTGTCCGACCGAAAATCGCGCCGAAATATTGCCCAACAGCCATTCCGGAGAAGATACTGCCCAGCTACAAAGAATACCCATCTCGCTTCCCCGCGAGGTGCTGTGCCCGATGCTGTGCAGAAAGTCTCAAACGTAGCCAGGCGTCTGAGCCATTTGGGTACGTGACGAAGCTCCTCGGAAGGCCCAGTGTGTGACGTCCGTACGGTTCATACACACAACTCACAACAAACCGGAAAGAAGCACAAGTCAAGTTTTCCACTCAATCGAATCGCGTCGAAGGAACCTCCGCCACGGCTCCGGCAGCGCCAGCTGCAAAGCCGGCTGCATGGAGCAGCTCGGCCTCGTCACCTGCACGTCTTGCAATGCGTGGCGGCATCTTTCTTAGGACAACTACACTATGACTATACTACAATCATCTACCCCCAAACCATTGAAGACCCCTGTATCGCTTGAAGACACGAAAAGACATTCCTGGGCAGGTCTTGCTCTTCCAAGATGCGAGTACAACTTGCGATTCCTTGTCCTTTCCATGCCATCTACGATGCTCACTCATTAGCCTCCCATGGTAGGCAAAGGTGAACTGAACCGATTGGGCATGCCAAGGTGGCAGTCCGAGGTGAAGCCCGAAACCCTGCGCCCCTCTTAAAGCATGAAGTCCAAAGTCGGTCAGAGTCGAACAGGAGTCCGATGAATTCCGATGAAGCCTCTAGACTCTGGAAGACGTGGGAGAGACCCAAACGGAATCGCCACACACTCCATGTGCGATCTCTTAATCTCTTCAGGCCCTCGAGGTGGGATTCCAGCGATTGAACTTACTGAACTTACGCTACAAAGTCCAGAAGTGGCTGCCGACGACCGATGCAAATGGGCCCTGCACCCTGTCCGCCTTGCAGCGTCTCCGTGGTAGCACGGCGGAGGTTGCGCAACTTTCTTGCCGCGACATCACCTACACACACACACCAGGGACCCGGTTTGGCTGCGAGCACAGACTTCACGTCACGGAACGACTCTCGCCTGCCGAGATTTACATGCATGTGCATACGAGGACCCATGCATACATGCATACATACATACATACATACATACATACATACGCTCAGGCATACAAACAGATGCACACATCATCGTTTTGCATACATAACCGTATAAAACACAAACACATATTCTTATACGCATATGTACATCCAAAAGGTGTGCATGCATGCATGAATGTATGTTGACAGATTTGTATTCAGTACCACGCTATATGATGTACACACAAGTACAATGAAGCAGCTCACTACCATGGATCCATGGGGCCTTCCGGAGAGCCTCGAAGCGCCAAAGCGAGCGCGGTCTGGCCACGCCTCAGCCGGCGCCACAGGTTCCAGGCATGCACAATAAACATGAACAAGAGAGCTGATGTACAACTTTGCCACTCGATCCCCGCTCATCTGTGCCGCTGCCGGGCATTGCCTCTCCCCACTTGCCTTGCCTGCCCTGGATTCGAAACCAACTAGTCAGCAGGATCGCTAGAACGCAGCGCCACATGCCGTATTCCCAGTCTCTGCTGTAAGGCACTTGAAGTTTGTCTGAGCCACTCCCTTTGCAGCGAATGGACTGTCGCCAGGCAGCGCATGACGCAAGACAGTGCTGCCTTGGCATGGTCGAGTGGTGTTACAGCTGACGCGCAAAACCAGTCCTCACACTGCACGACAGCTGCAGGTGTGTGCCGCGAGCTGACGCTACCTTGCTTGTGTCCTATGCTGAAGGCAAGGGCCAACAGTCCGCACACGGAAACAATCAAGGATCGGACTTGACAAAGGGGTTCTCACACAGAGGACGATATGCCGGTGCAGGTGTGGCCAGACAGCCCCTGCAACCGTAACCTCTTTTGGGCTCTCACCGTATCAAATTCTAAACTCACTCTTTCCAATCTTGCCTTGCTGTCCAAGACTACCCTAACGGTGCGACCACGCCTCCCCAAAACTCGCATCGTTCTGTTGCCCGTGTCAGGCAACTCGAAATCCTAGCGTTCCCCAGCCCCGCAAAGCCCAAGAGTCAAAACCCAGAGCTCTCAAAGCCCAAACGGCTCAAAACCAGAACCACCCGAAGCCGAAAGCCTTCGTCCCCATGTCCATCCCGAGACCCTACAAACCCTCAAACCTCTTTGAAGAGGCAGGGGGCCTCCCGGAGGCGCTGGCCCGAGGGTGGTCTGGACACGGTCCGCTTGCGGTTGGGGCTCCTTCCGCGAGGACCCAGGGAGCTTCGAAGTTTTTAAAGTGGAAGGCCTAGAGACAATTTCACCAAATTCCGCGGCCGAAGAGCGGGACATATCCGTGCCCTGCCCTGCATATTTTTAATTCATGGAGGCTTTGCTGTGGTGAAGATCGAACCTCGTTGCTTGCTGAAGGCCGTTTGAGCGAGCCAGCCTGGACGGGGGCGAGCGCTTGCTGCGCAGGATGGAGCCGAGGATGTGAGGCAGCTCCTTGGGTGTCGGGTATCAACCCCGAGTCCCGAGATGCTTCGGCGGTGTGCAACACTTCAGTCACCGAAGCGTCAAATGTAGTCCTCAAGACGAATCCCGTAACTCTTTCTGTTAACCAATAAGGTGCCAGGCGTGGGGGAAACGGTCGAGGATAGGACCGCTAGGGAAATGCAAACATAGAGTATGCGTGCAGTGCTGCTGCTGCTGTAGCTATGTGTAGCGCTGCAACCGGTACACAACTTCGATGATGCGACGGATGATGCGAGTGCTCTGTGCTCATGTCGACGGTTTATTACACTGCCAATGTCTGTGGTCTCTATTGGCATTGGCAGAGCCTCGCACGCAGTTGTTGCGGCAAGGTCGGCATAAGGTGAGGTTGGGTAGTGAAGAAGAATTGGCAGTAGCCTACAGAACCCGCCAAATATGTGAACCAAAGTCTCGGCTGCATCTGACGGTGTGGATGCGGACGTCTCCTGTTGGCTGCGAGCGCACAAGCAGAGGGACCGCTTCTAGGTGTTCAAGTCAGGTCTACTTTGCGACATCCTCATCCGAAGAGTGTCGGCATTCAGGCAGGACATCGCCTCAGTCCCGCCTGAAGTTTTCTCGTGGTAATGGCTCGTGAGTGCTTAGTTGGCCCTGCTGCTGATACAGCTATGGGCAGCTAAGAAATGCGAAGCCTCCCTGTGACTCCGGCTGAATGCATGCACTTAAGGATCCTTCATCTTCAAGTCTTGCAAAAGCTACAGCGGGAAGCTTGTCCAAGCTAGCAGCTCCACCACATCGGATGTGGAGGGGAGTTCTTCACCGCCATCCCAGAACTGATGTCTGAGCCCAAAGCGCCGTAACCCGAGGACCTAAAAGGATGCCTCGTCTGGGACGAGGTCCACAAACCCCACGGTGACTGGCTTCTCCAGCTTTTCTGGGGCCGCCTGCTCCTACGAGCAGGGAGGTGGTTTGTGTTTGCCGGCTTCAAACATGGTGGTTCAGCGAGGAGGTCAAAGAGGGACTAGGTCTGTTGTTAGTAGATGCTACGCCGGTGAGTGGCACCGGTCCTTCCTCTGCAGTCAGATCCAGGGCTTTCTGTGACAACAGACACCAGGTTTGAACGGACTGAAGACAAGCAGTATCCAGGAGCAGTCATATGGAGCCGATGGCATTTGCGGGTGGATTCTCATCGTCACGATGGAGCAAGCCACGCGGGTCCAGAACGGACTCCAGCTCATCATCCAGATCTTGACATTCCGCCGTGTCCTGGGGAAGATACTTGGGGCTGTGCTTCAGGAGAACCAGGAGATTGGCAGCTACAGCTCAGCAAGCAGTGGATTCGATGCTATGGTTCAAGGTTCCGGTTACAAAGAGCCGCCTAATTAATCAGGAACAGCTTTAAAAATGAACAGCTTGAGGCCGTCTCCTCCGCGAGATGATATACTCTAGAGACTTTCAAGGGGCGCTAGCACATCCCCGCCAAAAACAAAGTACGAGCTAAGGAGCCCATGACACGGAGCTGTCTGTACATGCTTTATGATTGAAGCGCTCAGCTGGATGCCAACAAGCAACGGTTAATGCTCATAATTTGCGAAGACAAGCGAGAACTGTGAGGCTTTACAAAAAGGTCTTGCAGGACCTCCAACCTTGTGCCATTTCCATGAGACATCTGGGAGCCGCACCCCGAGTGGCGACGATGGGGGCGTCATCTGGGCTGGCGGTGCGTCGCCTGGAACACAGCATGGCGAATCAAGCCGCGGTTTCGGGCTTCGGTTTTGGAAAGGCTTGTGCAGTGCGGGTCCCTCACGACAATGGGCAAGAGCTGTTTGAAGACAACGCTTCTCAGCGCCAGGGCACCGCTGCGAACCAGTTGTGCCAGAAGTGCTGGTCGCTCGTCCAAATAAGCCTGGAAAGGTCTCTTGCAAAGCGGCGAAATCCCTCACAGACTGAGACTGCTTTTCAGTTCCCTCTCCCTGCTCGCAGGCTACGCCGTGACGAGGCAAAGCAGGAACTCTGTCAGGGATGCATCGGCGCAGCTTCGAGATTCTACCTGGACCTGGACACCTTCGAGTGCGGTCCATGGCTTGGCAAGCATCCCATGTTTCCAGATGCAACTACGAAATGAAGCAACCAAGAATCATACTTGGGCAACAAAGCACCGGGACATACAGCAATGATATAATCACCCCAAATTATCTGGCAAGACCTGGCAAGTGTGCTGCCAGGGCACCGCCACTTTTTGGGGCAGAAAGGCTCGCCAGCTTGCAGGGGAGTTGCGCACGAGGGTGGACGAGTAGTGCGGCAGCTCGCCATAGATGAAGTCGACATGAACCCTTCAGGCTTTTGTGATTGATGGCTGTCAGACCTATTTGAGGAGGCCGCCATTCCGGTTTTGATCAGTATTGAATGTCTTCGCTGTTTGTTCATTTCGGGCCATGGCATCAGTCAACCAGCAATTGCGAGGGTTTCTGGAGTCTCCACACTCGTGTCGAGAGAAGACTCGCAGCACTGGAGTCGGCCTGGAGAGCCCAGCTTAGAAAGCACCAGCTGTGTGAACATTACATCACAAGGTATAACGATATATAAGAATAGTATATGACAGTATATCATAAGGTGTAACAATATATAAGAATAGTGTATATACTAGTATATATAATGCTGACCGCCACAAGGTCGAGCCCTCGGCCTGACCAAGAGAAGAAGCGCATTGGAATTTCAACTACAAATTCTCATAGGGTTCACGGTTTTAAGCGGTCCTAAGCATCGGTAAACTCTGCAAACAATTGCTCAAGCGGTCGAGGGGCTGATGCTCCGCAGCCAAGGCCCGAACCAAATCACCTTGTCAGGCGAGGGCAGTAACTAGTGGCCTGTTTAACCATACCAGTGTGACACAGTGTGATTATGACGACTTCGACCTTCCATCCTATCATTCTGGTCGCAGTCTCGCTGGGTCACTGAAGCTTCGAGTCCAAAGGAAAGCTGTTTTCGGTGGGTTTATGCACAGGAAAGAAAGCAAGTACACGCAGCTTGTCAAGGTCTGTTTTGATCTCTGCAGCCGAATGAACAACACCCAGAAGTTCTAATCTTACGCTCTTCATAGATCAGGACGCGCTGATTCTAGAATCAACATCCTCGGCATTAGGCTGCAGCATAGGTGCTGTCCACTGGTGCTTGGTAGAAGCGGTCAGTTTGGTTGTCAGGTGCCTGGTCTCTCCATTGTCCAAGCTTCTGATGGACACGTCGCAGCAAGTATGGATGTCGCGAGAACCCTTCCATCGTGCACGAACAGCTGCCGAAGGTCGCTGTGCGGTGGTATTGATTCACTAACCCTTCTTTTTCCGAAACTTAAGCTCAATACAACCTGAGCATCTTGGAAGGGCCACAGCTGTGGCAATTCTATCCCTCCTGGAAGTGCCGTCGAGCGAACCTTGTGCAACCGCCTTTGGACGATGAGCCCGTCCAGCTCGCAAAGCATGGCCTGTCCACGCTCGTTGGAAATCCACTCGAACCTTGGGCGGAAGCCCTGCTTGTTTCGTGATCGCTGAGGGCAACCTGTTTGATTCGGGTTTCGGCTGGGGTGCAGTGGTTCGGATCATATTCCGGCAAGCTGCCTATTGGAAACGTGCTCTCAAGCAAGCAATCGCGGACACCGCGACCTTCTGAGAACTAGACAGACATGCACCAGCATGTTTCAAGCCTCTAATGACCTCTGAGATAGCTGCTTTCAAGCGGTGCCCAGGCCTCTTTCAACCTTGACGGCTCCACGACTACTCTTCTAAGGCTTCTTCCCTCTTTTTTTCCTCCAGATCATATAGTATAAGCAAAGCACTTGGGATACGTCCAAACTAACTAGCTGCAAACCTCAGAAACCCCAAGCTACGGCTGTGGAGCACCGTAGGGACCGAGGGGCACATCATCCCCGCAGACCCACAACAGTTTGCTTCCTTCGGGATACTTCTTCCGCAGGGCACGCAGCATCACTACCTCGGAATCAGTTCTAGGTGACCCTTGGAAGCATCAGTCTTTGCATTCATCGAAAGCAGTAGACGATGTCTCTGTTTTGAGACCTTCATACATGCAGCACCATGCCGCAACCTAATGTCTGCTATGATCCTCTTATTTCGAAGGGGGAGTTGCGAATTTAATGCAAGCTTGGCAGGCGTCGGCAAGCTCTCACGTACTTCAACTTCTGGATCGAGGCCCCTGCGTTTGACTCTTCGGTCTCCTGCTCGACGCGGCTCACGCCTTGCAGCCAGGCCCCAGGACTAATGTAGGGGTCTTAATGACTAGAATAGGGTTTTTGGGCCCGGTATACTATAATTACAACAAGGAACCCCCGAAATAGTATTGATTGATTGATGTCGGACAATCGTGCTACGGGCCGCCAAGGCGAGCCTGGGCGACGCTTGGTAGCGCGTCCCAAAAATCGTGCAACAGAAATTCATGGGTGAAACATGGGGCGTTGTGCCCAGAAAGCCTTCGAGCTGCTACGGGTTCCTTCTGTGCTACGACCCCTGAGGAAGTCGTTGACCCAAACAACATGTGAGGCTTTCGGGCTAAAGGGTCGCACCAAAGACGCAAGGGTATCGGACTCATCCCCAGTAAGATTTGCGGCCCGATCATCTGCACTAGGTAGGGGAGGTCCTAGGATGTGGGGATTGCGCCTTGGCGGACCTTTGGCGACGTAGGTCTTCCAACCACCCTTCTTTACTGCTTTGTCCCTAGCCTTAATGGGTGCCTCGAGTTGCCGAATCTCGTCAATGGTCAAAGGAGGGTACAGGTAAAGGCAACGAAGGAGGCAGCTGCCAGAAACTTTCAGGTGCTGCTGAGCCTGCTTCACATCCGGGAAAAGCTTAAGGCATGCGGGGCAGTCTGGGCCCAGTGCGTAATGCCTGGCGGGTGAAAAAACCTGGTGCGTGCGTGCAAGGTGAGCATGCAGATGTTTCCGCAGCGGAAACGCTGCTTGACATAAGTAGCATTGGAAATCTGCAGCATCACCTACTGCATCTGGCAGGCTAGGGCTGGGTCGCCGCGGAGCTTTCTGCTTGAGCTCTTTCCACTTTTCAAGATCCTGCAGGAAAAGGCGAATCGCTTTGCCTACTTGGCGCACCCACCAGCGAGGGTCGTCTGAGTGTGCTTCAAGGAGGCTCGACACTACATCACCCGACTGGACATGATCTTTGGCCTCAGGCACAAACGCTGTGACAACCTCGAAGTCGTCTTGGAGCTGTGACAACCACGACCGCCTAGGCGCTTGGTGCCAATGATCCCACATCAGGGCAAGCAACAGGCCTGGTCCTTTCTCGAAGAGCTTTGCTAGACAGCTAGCCCTGGCTTTGGCGATGGCAAGAGGCGGAGAGGGGGCTTGAGCGTGGAGAAGCACCTCGTAGTTATGTTTCTGGCTGTCGGCCGCCGAGCGCGCCACCAGAGGCCGCCATAAAGCAAGATACTGCCGTTCCCAAAGCCGACGATGGATTGCCGCAGGAAAAAGCAGAGCCGATGCAGTATGAACGTAACGCGAAACAGCAAGAGCTCGCAAAAGGTTACGCCTTACCGCCAGGTCAAACCTCAGATCACCGAATAGGCGGCGCCGCAGAGGCCGAATGACCCCCATGGCCTGGGAGAACCTTAGGTGAAGGTCCGGCATCGGATTACTGTCTGAGGTCAGGATGCCTCCTAAGTGCTTATATGCATGGACCGCCGGCATAAAGGAGAGGGTGTCTCCAAACTTCGTGGGTATGTGCAAGCCTACTTGGCCGTCTACCGTAATCAAACCAGCTGCATGACGAGCCAGTAGTTCCGCTGGAAAGAGGACAGCGGTTTTTTCCACCCCATACTTGACCGTCATCCCAGCAACAAGGGCCTTATCTGCAACAATCGCAACGGACCTGGTGACCGTATCCACGAGAGCAGCAAAGTTCGATGAGGTCTGGGGAAGGAAGAAATCATCTGCCCAAGAAGGGCAGCCCAGATCAACGTTACCCACATGGGGGATGAAGTCCGGTCTACGGCCATCACGACCCCAACGTGCAGAAAGTCCATGGTCTTTGAGAGCCTCGCCAACCGTACGCATGAGCGCAGACAGTGTAAAGGCAAACAGGATGTCCGCCATGGGATCTCCCGGGCGCGAACCACGCTGCGTAAGGGTAAGCACGGCACTGGTCGAGAGTCGGAAATAAGTGCCCTCGAAGAGGTCACTAATGAGGGCTCTGGTGTGGCCGGTGACCTGTGCAGCTGCCAAATGTGAAGCAGTTGCAAGGTGCTGCTTGAGCTCAACAAGTGCAGCGGGTGGTATGTCTAAGGCATGAAAGAGCCTAAGTAAGGAGTCATCGCTCTCACTGGTGTCAACTAAAGTCTGGCGAAGAACCTGGTAGAATGCGGCTTTAAGGTCAAAAAAGACGAGTGCAGCCGACTGACCCTTGGTATTGGCGTGCGAGAAGAAGGTCTTGGCAACCAGAGAAATCAACTCGATTCCTTGACCGGCCTCAATACCACCGTGGAGGGGGGATTTGCAGGTGAGAAAGGCCGGAAGGAGTTGCTGTCGAAGGCAGCGATGATAAACTTTTCCAGGGACGGAGGACACTAAGATGGACCTAAACCCGTCGCAGCCCAGCAAACCTGCAGCCTTTTTGGCTAAGAGAAACAGTTCTCCGCCTCGGAAGATGACGGGCTCTCGGGCCTTGCGAGAGGCCTTCATCAATATAGGCAGTAATTGCCTGGAAGTGAGCGGCGTGTCGAGGCGGAGGAGCTCAGCCGAAACGGCATCCGCTCCCGCAGCCTTGTTGCGTTGGAGAAGGCGAATGTTGGACTCGACTTGCAGAAGAGTCGGTGCAGATCGCATGTCCAGCTGCCAGGAACATCTGGGCTTATACGTGTCGAAATGCGCAATGTAATCTGACGGATCAACTTTGAAGCCGGCTTCCTGCTTGGCAAAGTGAGCTCGCCAGCATTCCGTACGACCTTCGAAGGAATCGACCGGAGTCCCATCCTCGAGTAACAGGGAAGGCAATGGCTTATTAGATGCACGCCTGGCAGAACGCGCAGCGGGAAAGGCTTGCCTGATGGACTTATAAAGGGTTCTGGCATCCCTAATGTCCTTAGCAGCAGCTTGCGTAGCCAAACCGTCAAGGTATTGAAACCTGTCCTGAGCAACGCTGCGCCGAATGGCCTTAGTGGAGACGTACAACGCCGAGAGGGCATGCGCCTCGCTGATGTCAAGGCTCCACAGCCAGAAGCTCGCATTTTGTCGGGCTTGCTGGGTGAAAAGGGTGCCCAACCAGGAGTGGATGAAAGCTGCAAAGGAGACCAAAAGAAGCCTGCGGCGGCGCTCAGCTGCCTCATGCTTGAGGTATCGACGGAGTGCAGTTCGGAACGAGATCAGCTCAAGCGTAGCCTCCGTGAGGAAGGGCAACCTGGGCTCCGCAGCAGGAGCAAGATCGAAGACCCGTGTTTGCTGGCACCAAGCCGTCGAGACCTGAGCATAGTGATCGTCGACATCCAAGCTCCAGGCCGGAACTGGAACTTGCGAAAGTGCTTGCCTAACCTCCGACCTACCTTGTGGGCCATCCGGGAGCGTGGGTCGCACGACGCGTTTAGTAGGCTTGAGGTAGTCTGTGGCCGGAGCATGCTTAGCAAAATTGCACCTCAACTTGACTGGAACATGGTCGTCCTTCTTTTGCAGAGTCTCAACGTCATATAGTACTTGGGTGCCAATAGAGAAGTCTGACCACCATTGTGGGAGCGCTATGTAGTCAAGACGGTACCATTGGCCCCGCGGTGATCTCCAAGTACCGCTGTCTCCTTTGTGAAAGGCCTCAAAAGTGGATGGCACCCAGGCATTTATGCGTATCAGGAAGTCATGAAAGATGACTCCCGCAACCGTCTCCTCCTCCCCGTGCAGGGGGCCGACTGCCTCTGTTGCTATGTTGCCAAGACGGGCGTTGGCGTCGCACAAGAGTATATAGTCGGCGCCTGCGGGTCTGGTCAAAACTTCATGCGCTCTGGCAGACCAGTAGTGCGAGAGAAACGCAGAATCTACATTGGCAGCTGAAGGCGCATGCAGGACCTGTACGTGAAGCTTCAACCGATCCGTGAGGATATTAGCTGTCAAATGACGATCAGAACAACTGACAACTGTAACATCATTTTCTTGGAAGAAAATCTTCCCTTCCGGCCCCGTACCGTAGGGTTCACACTTGGAAACCCAGAGTGCGCAGCCACCAGTGCCAGCTGGGGTGGCCGGTGCGTTATAGATGTAATAGGATTCGTCGGGCTGCATGCTAGCATCCCCAATTCGAGTCTCCTGGAGGCCGATGAGGTGTGGCCGATGCCGAGCTAGAGAACTCTTGAGCACGGCTTTGCGGCCAACAAGTCGCAGGCCAACTTCGGTCGGGTTGGTACCTCCGGCCTTTGGGTCTTTCAAGGTCAGCGCATTGAAAGTAATACAGACAAGAGAGAAATGAGCCTCGGCAGCAGGAGTCTGGTGCCGTTCGAGGCCAGCCAGAGGGGCAACCCTGGGTTTACTGAAAGCTCGCTGAGCGATCTGGACTTCAGCCTCAAAAGCGAAAGGACAGGGCACATCAGACAGACCAGGAGCATAGGCCCAAGCCCATTCTCGCAGAGGATGTGAAATAGTATTGGCAATTATTTAGGAATTTAGGCCACAGGACCACGCCAATATGCACCGTACACGCGTGCATGATGGGACGCGCATGCCATGCTTCTTACAAGGGCATGGAAAAGCAGGATGCCAGCACCCTTTCACACGAAATTATCGCACACAATTCGCACAGCAGGCTGCCTATGCCGCTTGCGGACACAGCGAGCTCGCACATTGCAACGCGATCTTCAAAGGGAAGCAGGTCCTGCGCTGACACAATAAACTTCAGAATACAGAAACTGAAACCATGCTGTCCTTCTTCACCGGGTGCTTGAAAACAGGTACCTTGTCGGCAGGGTGATCGGAGAGGAAGGTGGAGAGACATTACAAAACGTGTCGGGCTTGTTGGAGACCACCCTGCGCATCACAGGCTTGCCCGGGTCATGGGAATCAGCGGAATCCTTTCGAGACATGTATAATTAGACTGGTCAGCAAACTATATCGTATTATATCGAGTGGCAGGTGAAGCAAGGGGAAAGGCGTTAGGAAGGCAAGTGCATCCGCGCGGCGAGAAGGACTTCGTCAACAGGCTTCGTCTGGTGGACGGTTATTGCCTCGTGTACACTTCAAGGCAAGCCGGCCTCGCAGCTCATCTCGATCAGACCATGATTCCGACTGAAACGCGCTATGAACTTTCTGAATTAACGAGCCTTGTCTCTGACATTACCTTGACCAGAAACCTTCCCACCAGAAACCTTCCCAATTACTGGCCACTTGCTTAGTTCACTACTGCACAGGCGAGTGTCTCGTACTTCAAGCTGCAGGGCCTGGATTTCCCAACAACTTCCACATGTCGAACCAAGCGGCAAGCAATGCATGGCCCAAGTGAATGGGGTTGAAGGATCCACCCATCACCTCAGAAGACACTGATGATACCTTCAGGTCTTACGCATGCAAAAAAGCTGCGCAGGTGAAGGTACATTCGAGACTGTTCGATTGCCAGCCTTTTGTTCTCTCATGCTTTCGCCTGAACCTGGGCAACAGTTGACAAGAGACCTTAGAAGACTCAGAGTATATCAGGCCAGCTTCACAATGTCGAACCAGACATGATGCACTCATGCTTACCTGAAAACCCCTGCGACGGACTACACATGAAGCACTTAAGAGTTTGGCGAGAGGGAACTGCAAGTACCAGCACGACTCCGTGACTCCCTGCCCCAGGTTCACTTGAAGGGAGCATGGACAAGGCTAGGCTAGACGCGGCTTTGGGCTGCAATCTGCGGCCGCCCTATCCACAGCACAGGAACGCTTCAGTCTTCAATCAAGAACTTGACAACGCCTGAGCAAGACAGGTTTGCGACGGTCATTGGAAAATCTATTTCTGATTCAGCAACTGCAAACTTGCAGCCGTCCTTCTGAGCAAACGCTCTGGGGTATCTCGCGCTCCGAGAGCTCTTCTCGTGCTCTTATTGAAACTGGGTGCAGGCGAAGTGTCCCCCACAACTTTTGGCTGGTCTGCCGGCGACATGATGACCTGATGCACGCAGGTGGGGGCTGCCCACTGCATCATGAGTCTAGAGTCTAGAGCCGATAAGGGATGGTGCTTGCGGAGTATACCTTACCCAACTGGCCCATGACTCTCAAGCCACAGTAAAATTACCGAACCAACCTGCCCTCAACCCTTCTCGGATGCGTGATAAAATGTTGAGGGACCAAGGTAGCTTGCCTGTCCAGGGCCAAGTCTTAACTAGCGATGTCACAGTCGGGAATCGGTAGCATGACATGTGGGTCATGTTGTTTTGGGTGTCGTAGATACATTCACGACGAGCATCTCATATTGTTTGTTACCACAAGTTCGAGCAACTGAGATATCTCACCTCCTACGTTCCCGACTCCAATCAGCAGCAAGGCAAAGCATGGACTCGGCCGCTGCCTGGGAAGAAGAAGCCGCAGCAGTTGCGAGTAAGCGCAGCCAGGGGCTAGAGCCGTACAGCGATGATGAGAACATCGTGATTTGGACGGCGAAAAACCGAAGTAGATTGGAAGCTCAGCAGCCTTTGGGCTTTGTCTAAACTTCGACCCTGCTTCAACATGTCCGCTGTTACACCTTGTCCTGCTTGGACTGGCCCCTCGCGCTCGGCTAAAGCACACCGCAAGCTGCAAGGATGCTTAGTCTATAGATCCCTTGACGACCTGGATCCGCTAGTGTTCAATTGCAATGCACACTAAAGGGTCATGCAAACAGTCCGCGAGGGCTGGAGCGGGTGCACCTTCGTCGGCGGAACGAGCAGGGTACAAATCCAGCCTCCACCAGTCAAAAGGATTTGCAATTCACAAACAGAGTTGGATGCTTTACGTTCGAAGCAGCTTGAACTTGGTGTCCACTCTACTGTCAAGATGAAACAATTTGCTGCGAGACTCTGTGACCCCTCTCAGCTGTCGCTGAGGATGCACCCTGCAGGTGTTTGAGTTCTTCGTTCACCTACTTCTGACGCAGTGACACTGTCGACATGCTCCACTGGTGTGCAGGGTGTGCAGGACGCTGCAGGTGACCCTCAGTTCTCTATCTCAGCGCATGACAGCTTGGTTCATGAAGCCGAACAGCAAATCTGATCTGCCCTGAACTCCTGCACCATGCAAATACGTGCAGCGGGAGGGTCTCTGCACCATTTTGTGTCAATTCCGCCCATGGCTTGGTCTTCAGCGATGCGTCCACGTCGGTGGGAAGCAGGTGGCGCTTGGGTCCAGTCTCTTCGCGAGAACTGGCAGCGGGTTTGATGGAGATTGTGCTAAAAGGCATCGCCTTTGCTGACAGGTGAAGACTTCAGTTGAGATTGAGGCATTGCCACGGCAGTCGAAACCAAGGCATTGGGGTCGGCTCAATCTTTCTGCTTTACGGCTTTTGGTGCTTGCCTCCATCAAGTCTCATCCTTCCACATACAGCTTTGGCGAGTTTAATGTCCGGGCAGTGTCATGTGGAAAATCCCGGCTGTGCTGCATCGACGCGAGTGCAGGAATCCCCGCCGCAACATCCTGCTGAGACTGAAATGAACGAGGAGTGCATGTGCCTGACATACAGTAACTTCTATTCTCGGAGGTCTGGGGAACCTTTGTTCGAAGATTGCCGTGTCCAGCTCGAAAATATTCCCCGACGCAGTCGGGGCGCCCTTTAGGCTCATCTCAAGCTTCAGTTCCGGAAGGCAGCTGCAGGAGAATAAATAAATGTCAACACATCCACATCCGTGTGTGATTTCATGAAAAAGCAGCTGCCTTGTTGTAAAACCATTCAAAACAACAGGTCGGACAAACTCAATGATCAGGGATGCCCTTCGTACAGCTTTGTCAGCATGCTGAGCTGTGAATCTGGAGGTAGACTTGTGCGCCATGCCTGTCGCAAGTGACCCAAGTCCGACACAGAGTCCATATTGCACAAACGAAAACCGTGACAACACTTCGTTGCATACCATGACAAACCGGAGGGGACCGCGGCTCGGTAGATGCTAACCCCTTGCCTATCACACCTCCCTTCATCCTGGGTGGGGGGGGGGATGGGGGGTGGATATTATATCTTACAGTGAGGAGGGGAAGGCAAGGCAAATTAAGGGCGGCCCAAGCACACACGATGAAATGGTTGTTCCGTCCCATTAAGACTACTGAAACGGTTCCCCAGAAGCTAGTGGAGTGGCATGTGATTTTTCCTAGTATGCTTGCTAATGTTTCTGATTGGGGATGTAGCGGCTTAGTAGAGCTCTGCATCAGGGCCTACAACGCGGGGACAAATGCTAATAAGCAATAACAATAACTGTACTATGAAGAAAACAATACCAATGACACGACCAGCAATAATGGTTCTCTCAGTAGTACCAAGAGTGATAACGATAACAGTTCTAGTGGAAATAGCAATAATAATACACGATGATACATGTAATAACGGTCTCAATACTAATAACAACAACAATAATGATCATGATAATTACAACAATAACACTACTAATATAACAATCGTAATTGTAACAGTAATGGAGATAATCATACTACAACGACTAACAGTAATAAGAACATGCTGATAGTACCAATACCATTCATGCTACCAGCAGTAACATTCATAACAACAGTAATAACACTCATACTAGTTCGAGTAGTACTAGTATATTGAATGAGAATAAGTAGGAGAATGATGCTACTTCTAATGGTAAGCAATAACAATCTGTAACTACATGAATCACACTTAGTTTAATGGCTTGATTAACAAGGGCTTGGTAAACGCTGAACAAAAGGGCTTACGAGAGGGGAGGCAAATTATAACAAACGTCATCACATGGTTTGCCCATTCCACGATCATGATCTTCTGTTTGCTTGTTCTAATTTGCTGCGAGACGGGGGGGAGAGAAGGTAGTAGCATCTGAATACACATGAAACAGCTAAAGACTGAAAATGACATGCCAACTTCGTTTTTTTGTATTGCTTGATATTTCCCGGGAGCCCATTCCGTTGTTATTGTTTTTGATGATTGATACTATCGTTGTTGTTATTGGTATTACTATTTCTAGGTATATTCGCGGCCTAAAAGAAGCTTTTTTCTCTGCGTTGCAAGAATCTACGCTTAAGAGAGGATTGAATACAGACCTTATCGCAGCTTAATGCAATGGTTTCCGATTCCATCAGTATTAACAGTATTTCCCGGGCCTATTGGGGGCTAGTTGTGACATGGTTTGCCCATTCCGTGTGATTATTTCGCGTCACGGGACAAATAGTGGTACTGAAATGGTTTCGGGAGGTGGAGGAGGGGGGGGAGGATAATGATAATGATTACATTTACAATAATCGTCACAACAACTATCAACATGAGAATAGTCATAATCTTAGTAGTAGTGACAAAATAATGATGATAAAAATCATAACCAACCTCATCTTAATAGCAAGGGAAGAAGGTTTCCCATTCGGTCTTCCCGACGCACTAGTCACTAGACCCTGTTGGGGTGAAGCGTAGCGCCATCAAGCTGTAGAATCTGTCTTTAAACGCCGAGCCGAAACCTATGAGACCGAGTTGAACCATCTTGAAACGGTTTGGTGCGATCCCCACAGATTCTAGATGAGAAAGAAGCAACCCGATAAGCTGCTAGGCAGGTTGTTGCATTCTTCGGCCTATGCCTGCAGTAAACTAGAGTATTGACCAGTCCAGGCAGGTAGCCTCGGGGCAGAGTGCGGCCAAGTCCTTGCAGCCTCCGCGAAGGCTGTCGCCGCCTTGGGCTTCTGACCTTGGATCTTCAAGAGCATCATGTGCGTGCAATGCCCACCAGTGAGCTTTGACACAAGCGCGGGATAGAGTTTCCTTTGATGCGTTCGGTCGGCGACGCCTCTGTCTGTGAACCGACCGTCGAGTCACCAGAATAGGATGTGATATGGGAGAGAACGAGCCAATTCCCTGCTTGGAAGCAGTCCGGTAGCAAACCCTGGGAGGGCAACGAGCTCGGCTTCGAAGCAACATCAGGTGACGGGTCTGAAGGATTCATGGGTTACTGTTGCTACATGTCGCCACCAAGACAACTCGAAATCATTTTCATCTGGACTCCCATCAGTGCCCATGCTGCAAGCGAGTCTCAAGGGCCGGAAACCAAAGTTGCACCTAGGCGTGTGACCAGCACCGGGTTCACGAGCTGTATGAGAAGCAGCGACTGCCGCACACCACACTGTTTATCCCTGTAGTGGCCAGGTTCAATCTATACTCTCTTGGTGATGCCGGTCTGCTCTAAAAGCAGAATGTGCCGAAGGGGACGCCAAGGCACAAGTATTGAGGAAGCTTGCCGGAACCTCAGTTCAGCAAGCAGGTCAGCTTACTTCTTTTGAATATTAGCAAATCATCGCTCGGCATGCTATTTGCATGTTTCTTCTCTCTTACTTCTCTCCTTCCTCCCATCCAGCATTTCCCGTCCGTGCTCCCTGTCTCTCGCTCTCCATCTTTTCTTCCGTCTTCTTCTTTGCCGCAGCCAAGAGAGCAGATCCCTACCGGCATCTGACATGAGCTCCAGAATCTGGAAAACCCACGCTGACACTCGCCATTTTCTCCGTCTGCTTCGCTTACTCTAAACCCTCCAAACCACTGCGCAGTCGTCTTAAGAAAAGAAATCTCCCTCGCCCCATCATGTCTGATTTATGACTCTGCGCTCTGGGGTTGACAAATACTCTGTTGTGATGCAAAGATGGACCGTGGGCAAGATTTCGCCCAGCAGCCGTCGTCCACTGGCGTCAGTTCCAAGGTAGATGTTCCGAACCAGCGAGCGAGGGAAGCCACGGCGGCCAACAAGGCCATCTCAGGACGGGACACTCTCTCAGCAACTCTCCGAACCAGGTGGCAGGAAAGTAACGCCAGAGACAAGCAATCGACTTTGAAGCTGACATGTGTAACGTGGTGTCACGTACGAGCTTCTTGCACAAGTCAGGCTGTTGCTGCGCAAATATTCTGTCTCTGTGCTGCCAAGGTGCAGCGAGCGTGGGCTTTCCTAAGTGGCGGCCCCGACAACTCAGGTCACGGTCACGCGAGCGGGACAAAAGCTCTCTTGCTTTGCCTGTCTAAATCCTTCAGGGGCACCTGGCTGGCCATGTCATCCCAAACCCGGGAAGCCTGCACACAGTCCTTCAGAAAATAATGGAAACTCGCCTCTTTCAACAACGGCTGCCTGGACCTGCTTCCACCACACGACGACGACAGCGACGACCACGACGGCCTCTACTACTCTGTGGCGCTCCCCTCTCCTATCGTCCTGCAGCGACTATCACGACTGTCTTCGTTTGCTGTGATTGCCTTCCTTCGGCTGTCGACTTGCAAAGGCTCGGTCGGACGCTGCTTTGGCGGTCCCATCCAGAAGACGGCCACGCACCGCCTCATCTGCCGGCTTAGAGCCGCTGCGGCCAAGCCAGATCCTTGGGCAAAGGCTCTGCGCGGGAAAGGGATGCCATTGGGCCTGCTTGCCTAGTCTTGCCTTCATTGGGCGTTAGAGCTTCCCGACACCACGTTCTTGTGCTTCTCCCTGGCTCTTGCAGTTGCATCAGCTTTCGATGGAGCCTTCATGGTTAGAGACAGAGAGCGCCAACAAAACTCGGCTGCGAGGCCCACTGAAGCCAAGGCCGAGCAGCACCCGGGCACTGCTTTGGGTCAACCGCACCACCGCCCGGCAGTACACGAGCCTGAGCGCTTGGACGCTGAGATTCAGAGTTCAGAAGCTGGACATGAGCTGCTTCAGCCGTCGGTTGCGAAGTACAGTCACATCAGAACTTCCTGGAGTTCCGTACGTGCACAAAGAGGGCTGGCCATCGAGTCTGAGCTGCTCAGCACGGAAGGAGCGGAGATGGGCGGAGACAGTCACCTTCGGCTTTTCCGACACTTTTGGGGCAAAGTGAGCTGCAATACACTTTGATTCGGTCTTGTGGAAGACCTGGTGTTTGTGGTTGCTCAACTCGTAAGGAAATCACAGGATGTTTTGGCTGCCTCTTCAATTTCCGTCTTGGGCACCCCGACTCTTGCACTGGACTATACCCGAAGCTTTGGACCAGGTCCGCACCTTTGGAGCATCGTGAGAGGAGCCCACAGCACGCAGCTCGACTTGGCAGCCCGTAGGCCAGGCGATGTTCCACTCCCACCTGGCTTTGCGCGAGGTTCCATAGGTGCGGGTCGGCGTGATACAGGATTGCAGGTTCCCTGACTGCAACTACGCATGAGGGGATCGAAATTGCCCCTTGTGACTCCCTGGGCCCACTGGACAAAGGGAAGCGGGGACAGGGTGTAGGCAGTGTAGGCCTGAAGAAGTGTCTTCCGTATGAGCCCGGAACTACAGGAGAGCTACCATGCGCTACATTCCGGGCATCTCCCCACATCAATGACCAAAGAAAGCACCAATGAGATGCAACACAAAGCTCTACGGTTCGGCCCTCTGCCTCGGTCGTTGTCTGATGCTTCAGGCTTGAACTTACGGGGCGTGCGCAATTTCCGCTATGTATCTAAGGCCCGAAAGGGCAGGAGGAATCTGGACGAGTCAGAAAAATCTAGTTCAGGGTAGAGCACTCAAGTCACTTTGCCGGTCTCTTACACTCTTGATTTCGATTCTGAAAGGGGTATGTTTCTTAGCTCGAGGCCGCAGGGAGGGCGTCACTCCTGAATCGCCCAAAATGAAGAATTCCTATGAATTGTGGTGCCCCTGAGATCCGTGTTCCATAGATACCCCTCACCTCCCCCCTCTGCAACTCCCATACTTGCATGATCTTGGGAACAAAACTCAAGATCCAACATGGTCTCCCAGCGACTTCTCCGGGGCGCCCATGAGGCCCAGGATGCAGTTGAGGTCAGGGCGCTGAGAGCCCCCTGGGCTTCGGGAAGTGGGGACCTTTGCCTTTGCCATGAAATCTTGGAGCCATCTCAGACCTGGTTCCGATGCTCCCAACTCTGGGCAGGTCTCATCTATGTCAAGCCAAGCAGCCCCAAAGCCAGCCCCATGCATTCCATCCTCACCAGGCAGGCAACGGATGCAGAGCGCCCCCTTGAGCAGTCAGCCTTTGAAGCGTAAAACACCTCTGGCTAATTATCTATGCCACGGCAGGCAAGGTAAGGCGACCCTCGCGGCCTGTCAGCGGCAGGACTTGGAGCCACGACGCTGGTGCCAGAGATACGATGCGGCCCAACGGCGCATCCATGCCTCGAAGGCACGGACTCGGGGTCTGCTCGCGCAGAGATACAGCAAGTTCGGTTGGATTGACTTCTCACTACCTAGCCGGCATTCAACCGTGATGGGCCCATTATCCGCTCAAAAGTGGCGACGCTGCCAATTGCAACTTGCAGTTTCGATCCCCAAGCCCATGCAGCTAGCTTGGTACCGAGATGCTAAGTTCGCCAAACATGGTGTGCGCAGAGGTGCTCTGGAATCCCAGGTCCTTGTAGTACCTGAGCGGCAGGTGCTGAAGATTAGACGGTGAGCGGCGTGTTGGGTGGGAAGGACGTCCCATGTGCACTGGTGCCTCTCATCACGCTTAAAGTGTCTTTTTCACATGTGCAGTCTTTCAACAGTTCCCGATCCATGAGCCGAGCACCCTTAGCTTCGGATGCTCTGGGCCGTGGCTTGGAATTCACGTCCACACAGAACATAAAGCAACCGTTCTGGGATTCAGATTCTGTCGGAAGCTTCCATTGAACAAACGACGCGCACTGCTCAGCACTGTCCGAGTTGCTGGATGAGCCGGCAAGAGCCCTGATCCTCTGCTCCAAGTTCCACATTGGACATGCCAAAAGCTTCCTGAAGTTCCAGACGGGCACAGCATGCGATCAGCTCAACAACTCGTGCTTGTCGGTGTCTTCTTCCAACAGGGAAACAGAAACAACTCGAGCAACCGGAAGGATGGCACAGGTTAGAGGCAGGCCGCGGCGATGCATGCGAGAACGCCCAGCAAAGCCTCAACAAGATCGTATCGAGGTCCATGGAGGTAGGGGGAGCGCTGCCTGAACCTAGTTCTGGACAGACCTCAAGTCTTGATCCAGCAGGGTGCTAGAGGGCTTGGGGATTCAGATTCTCTATCCGAGCCTTTCTACCTGTGCAGAGACTTGTCCCGCTGCCTACTTCGGCACCCCCCTGGCCGCCTGTGCCACTGTGAACGGCCTCGACCGGTTCCTCTGCGATGCTAGCTCCTGGAGTGATAGGGATGAGCGGAAGCAGCTTCCACGGCCTCCCCATGCTTCTGCTTCTCTCACCTGCTCCGTTGTCTCTCTCTCTCTCTCTCTCTCTCTCTCTCTCTCTCTGGCTGAGTCTGTAAGCCCAACCCAGTCCATGAAGCGCCAATCATCACCGTCGATCCCGGGGACGCTCTTCGCCCGGCTGATCCTCACAATCTGTGGCGACACAGTGATGCCAAATTCATGCACTTGTGCAAGAGAGGAAACGCCGTAAAGAGGCTGAGGAAGGGTAAGGTTAAGCTGACGCTAAAACCAAAAGTTTCGTGGTGCGACAGAGAAGCCAATGGACGTGCAGCGCACTTTTGGTGTTCTTCGGGCAGACCTGAGCCGGATGTCAAAGGAGCAATGCTAAAACAGACTATCTTGGGCCCGGTCGTCGCAGCTGCTTCTTTTTTTTTGTGATCAGTCGGGCTAATTATGCTTCTGTGTGAATGACTTGTCTGTGTGGCCCCCGGCCGAATACTGCAACCACGAGACACTGCCGCGGACTTCCGCGAGCTTTGAGCTGAATGGGCCACCCTCCACCCATACCTTCGCGTTGGTGCATCATCTGCAAAACAAGGCTGCTACTAGGACAGGCTCTACCTTGAGTTTGGTCTGGGATTGAGAACTGCGAAGTTTCCTCTCTGGGAGAATACAGAGTTCAAAAGCGCACCACGATGACAAATCAAAAGTGTCTTGGATGCAAACCGCCTTCACAAGTATTCAGAAGTCTGCAAAGCGACCCCAAAGGGATCCAAAGGCCCTGTCCTGAAGTTTAATTGCCGGCATGTAGCGTGGATGGCACACCGGGGAATCGTGTCCTGACCGTATGCCGAAGCCACCCTGCCACAGGATTTTTTTGTGGGAGCTCCACTCCACGCTGCCCTGCTTCTGGCTTCCTCTTGTAGCGGCCGTCGCATCGCGGCTTCACTCAGGATTAAATGCTGCATGTCGTTGCAAGAAGTTGACAGCAGCTTGCGAGAAGGGTAAGCTCCAAGAGGGGTACGGTCGGCAGCTTTCGTGCTAGTTCGTACCTGGAGTTCCAAGCATCGGACAGGCCTGGATTTCATCTGTCCCGCAGACAGCGTCACTTTAAGGTCGAGATCCAGTGTGGCACCTGAGAGACGGTGTGCAGTGTGCAGTATGCGACGGCTGTGCTCAAGAACAATACCATGAACGTGTCCATAAGTTTCAGGCAATCAAGCTGGAATTGTTGCCTTGCGGTCGCTATGGGTGCAAAAATTCTTGCGCCAGCTAATCTCTGGACACAAAGAAAATCAAATTATGCAAGAATTAGCCTGGAGCCAGAACATCGTCGTGATGATCACATGTTGTTTTTTGAAATTTTTTCCTAATTAAAGGCTGACCAATTCGCCCCCACCTGCCTCCCGCCCCCCCCTCCACCGAAACAAACGTGGAGAAAATATGAACCCCATATGAATTTGGGTTGAGGCAGCGATTTTCGTAACATCAATTTAAGTGCTCCACCCCCGCAGGCGCTTTATGCGAGAGGAGGTTAAACCCATTAGGTGTGACAAAATGCTACAAGTGCGGCATCATGTGGAGCGGATCGAGCTATGCCACGCTAGGATCCTGTCTCGAGTTTGAAGCCTGAAGTATCAAAATTACCACGGGAATCATCCAGCCTGTTCTGCTAAGCTGCTTCTCACAGGACCCGACCACTCCAGCATGCGTGTGTTGTGGGACATAGCATCCTGGCCGTGGACGGTGCTGGCAGCACAGGAGTTGTAAGGCAGAATGGGTGCTTTGCGCTTAGTTCTGCAATGCCCTCCTAGAACTTCGCAGTCAAGTTCCGAGCTTCAGGTTCTGGCAATGCATGAATGCTCACCGAGAGAGACAACCTGAAGCGAATAGACCACTCGTATCTGACACCGGCCGGCATCTTTGCGCTCATGAACCTCCCCCTTCCCGCCCGGCGATTGTGGTGGAGACCAATTCCGAAATCATGCTGCGTCCACATTAACAAGAAGCGCGCCAAGGCCACACAAGCTGATGTGGGGCGAAGAAGCGAGACCAGCCGGCTGGACCTGCCAAAGCACTCCGGTGCAGTGTTGGGGCAAACGCGAGCGAAGGCCACAAGCAAGAGTCAGCAAGAGGCTCCTCTTGGCTGAATTTGAGGGTTTCGAGCTTGATTGGGACGGGACCATCAGATTCCATTCAAAATGTTCGGAAACCTGCCCGCCTGCAGTGGACCAATCTGCACGGGACAGAAAACTTCAGCAGACTACCTGCGCCCTCGCCTGCGTTGGAGCTTCCCTCGCAGTGACTGCGTCGTCTGTGTTCCGCCATTATCGACCCTCGGCTGGTCGAAACTTTCTTTGACGGAGGTGCCCTCAAGAAAATCTATCCATAACCTCTGTGCGAATAACGTTCCTATGTGCTGGTTGAGTGACTCCCAGGCGGGTTGCTTTGACCTGCATCAATGTCAGCGCGTGCTGCTAGAATGGCAGAGGCTCAGGACATCCTGCTACCTGCTGTTCATGGAGTGGACACGGACTTACTACCATGCTTGGAAACTAGCATCGCCTAGACGACTCCGTGCAGGCTCAAAGCAGCACAAACGTTCCTGGCCGTTGCGCCCCGTGATGCCTCGCTGTGGCGCTGACATTGCTGCGGAGGACTGCGGCACTATTATGCACTTTGGCAGACCTTGGCGCCGCAGTCATGCTTCGTCTGGGATGAGCAGGGCGGTTTTGAATATATATATATATATATATGGCACACGGCAATGCGCCGGCTAAGAGACCGTTCGTATTTCTACGCATGCGCCTCAATATTCGAACCGAAACGTACCCACAAAATATCGACCTCCTCTCCACCTCCTGCCTCCTCCCACCGAGGGTAACGGGAGAGGGCAAAAGCAGGGTGAAGAAAAGGAATAGTGACAAAGTTGAATGGGTCAAGGTGGGAGGTAACGGAGGCTAAGGGTGGGAGGAAAGCCCAACCCACCTCCCACCTTCGTGGAATGTGGGAGGTGGGGGGGAGGTGAGATACCGCACAACATCGCAGAGGTACTGGTATCGACCTAGCCGCGCGATGACCAGCCTGATGAAGCTTTAGAAACGACTCTAATGAGTCCATGACCAATTCATTCAACTCCCGGCTGCAATCTGTATGCCAGAGCTCTCCATCTAGCATGTCCATGCGAGCCCGGAAGTAGCTCTTCAACGATCTACCAGAAACTGCACCACTGAGTATATGCTGTCTTGCACATGAGATGCGTGGGTACTTCCACTTTGGCTTTGTGCTGCGACTCACTGTCAGACTCCCTCTTGCCAAACTGTCCCCTGAATCGCCAGCCGGTTGCCCAAAGCTCATCATTGGAATAGGAGATCGCTGTCTTTCAGATGCGGCCGCATCTGTGTTTCCATGTGTTTCTCATGCCCAGGATGTGAATCTGGTTGGAATACATGAGACGGTTGGCTTTTCACTTTTTTCTACAGGAAGTTAGACTAGTAGACTAATGCCCGAAAAGACTTAGGTAGAGCAAATGCCCATCTGTAAGGGTCTTGGATTTCAATTTACCAAACCAGCAATGCACTACGTCAAGTCTGGGGTCCTAAACATTGCTGCTTGAGCCGTCGCCGCTCGTCGCTGTCAAAAAAGTGTCAATAAAGGCGACTGAGAGGGACTTCGTTGATGATTCGCAGGCAGGCGCTCCAATGTTTTCGAGGGATCCCTCGAACCTGCGGCTGTACACGTAGGGCGACGTAGGGCCTAAGCGAAGCCCGAGCAGGCAACAATGCTCCTTCCGCAAATAGCACTGAAGTAAAGGCTTCTGCTTGAGCCAGGCAAAGGCCCAGGTCTCAACGGGGTCCGACCTCCTCAGTGCTTCAGCCTCATGGAGCGGACTTAGCACCCGCCGGGTCCGCAACGAGTGCGCAACTTCAAAAGTCGGTGGCAGTCGCAGCACGTCCTGAAATTGAACTACCTGGCCTGCACTGCCCCTGTATGTGTTTATAAGTTCACAGTTTCTGCTCACGACTGCCCCGAGGGATTGGGCCCTGAATCTCACGGGTCGACAACCCTCGCGGAAAATGCTGTAGACCTGCCGAATGTTCTCAGCTGTACGGCGAATCACTGAGTCCAGCTAGCTTTGTCTCGGTTCCAGAGCGTGTTCCACACATGACATTGCGGTCAGGTCTACAGGAAAGCATTCAGAGCTCGGCCACCGTCACGCCATTCTGTCGGAGCTCCTCTGGCCAAAATACGGCGGCTTCCAAGCCTTACAACGACAGTGGCATCCTCTTCCTCCTCCTCCTCCCTCATCCGACCACCATGACCTAATAATCTACCACGACGACGACCACGAAGACCGGCAAGAGCAACAACGACAGAAATTCCAGGCTCTCTTGCTATCTAGCGAAACATAGCGCTAAGTGGCACCGCGAATCTGAGTAACAATCCAAGTCCACAGTGATGATTAGCCTCGGCCAAGACCTGAATTCCGGGCTTCCTCCAGCACACGCTGGCTGTAGCTTTCGTCTGGAAAGCCAAACCGTTCTGGACCCCCAGAGAGGGCCTTAGCTTTGGATTTTCAAGCTTTCCCGCAAGTCTGGCCTGCCAGGTTCTACCTCCATTGGAGTTTCTTGATGTTGGGATGTTTCTAAACGCATTGTGTTTTACTTGAAGCATTCGGATCGGTTCGGTCTCCTGACAACTGGAGGGACTCACAACCACACATCCGCACCCAACTGAAAAAAACACCTCTCTCTTGAAGTGATTGTTTGTTTGTCCTTCCAGTCCACTGTAAGTAGGAAGACACACAACATAGAGCTTCGAGTAGCTGACACATAATGTTTTATCGGGCGAACCTGTTGTCCTGCATAGTTTTTCGGACATGAGCTGGAAGCACTGCTCTTCAGTTACCAGCAAATGCTTCCCAAACATTTTTTGCGTTTTGACCACCCCATTGCCTTTAGCAGCGATAAAGGCTGGTATGCGTTAGAGCCCTATAAAGCTTATTCGTTTCCATGTCGCAATGAGAGCGGTGGGCAACACTGCTTGGCCGGCATGGAATCCGACTATCATAGCTTCGTGGTAGGAATAGCATTCCAGCTAGCTCAGTAGTAGGGTAAATCATGGTACTAGTAAAACCAACTTGTTGCATGGCGGTCTACAGCCAGCTCACGATCCCTAATTGCG